CATTGATTTGGTGTTTCTGCATTGATTTGGTGTTTCTGCATTTGGTGTTTTTGCACTGATTAGGTGTTCTACATTTATTAGGTGTTTCTGCATTATTAGTTCTGCTTCCTGCAACTGGTTTTTACTGGTGCCTTTAGAATTGACTTTCTCCTTGCGCTAGAATAAGTCATCTTTCCTCAGTATTCTATTTGACTCAGCTGTAAATGGGTGTTGATAATCTGAGTAAAATCATTGCCAAGAAATTTTGCCAAGGTACAGCTGTTAGACAGGATCTTGTGAACCTAAGTTGTTTTCCTTGTAAAAATGTTTCTAACTGTTCTCACAATCTCACAATCTCACAATCAATATTTGTCTTAAGTATGGTATTTCTTAGTGTACAATTCCACACTTATGACAAATTTCTATTGAAAGATTTTTTGAGAAACAGGGGACAGCTTTTTTCTGCTTTCATTCAGTGTTTCTGCACCTTTCACTAAATAGCAGTCAATCATACCAAGATTACCTTTCCACTACCATTCAACAGAAATTGCCATGATCAATTAATTGGATGTTTTTCAGTTTGGATTTCTGCTTCTTTTGTTTGTATTTCTGCTTTTGGATTTGGTGTATTTTGCTATGTACAGCTTTGGAAGTTCAGGTCAAAGTTGGCAGTTAAGGTGAAAATGAGTGTATGAGGTCTAATGTCAAAGATGGTGGTTGAGGTCAAAGGTCAAAGATAGTTTTTGAGTTCAAAGGTCAAAGATGATGGTTGTGGTCAAAGGTCAAAGTTGGTATTTGAGTTCAAGGGTCAAAGTTGATGTTCAAGTTCAGGGGTCAAAGTTGGTAGTTGAGGTCAAAGTTTTCTTTTCAGGTTATGGTGGTATGGATGAAGGGAGGGTTATCAGATGAGATGAAGCATGCAGATAAAGAAACCGCAGGTATGGTCATCTAAATATTTTCATTTTACCAGCCGATAGAATTGAAATGGTGTCATACTTGCAGTGTTCTATGAGGGAAATTCTGCAAGATATTAGGATTTTAATTTCCACCCATCAAGGATTTGAACAGTCTTTAGCACACCGGGCCTTAGTTTATTGTCCAAACGCCTATACCCGCGCCTCTGACTTGACATCATTGCCAGAGGTTACTGGGTTGAGAATTCATAGATACATGTATTGATATTTTCGAAATTGAAGCAAGCAGGCATCTAACACACTGAGCCACAGCTGCTTCCCACTAGCTGATAAGCTATGGCACCTTTTCAATATTTTTAAGTTAAACATTTTAATATTTATTTCAGTTTTTCAGATAATGGTGGAAAGAGTAATGGTTTTCAGTTTTTTGGGTTGTCTGTTTTTTTTTTTGTTTTTGCTTGGCTTTCTGTCATATTTTTATGACTTTCTGCTTTAGTTTGGATGTGTGCTGTTTTGTCCATGAATTTTGTTCAGTTGTGTTGGTTTTAGTTGTTTTGGATCATGAACTGGTAGGTTTAGAAGTTTGGTTAGTTTCTATTTCAATTGGGGAAGGGGGAAGTAATAATGTTTTTTCTATTTCAGTAATTGGTATTTTTATAGTCAAGAAATAAAAGATTATCTGTTGGCTTGTGGATATGTGGGATTGGCAGGTAGGAATTCTTTCTGGAACTTGGTATTGGTGTTTAGTTTTATTTTTTCTTTTGAGATTTGTTTCTACATGTTTTATGATAAATTATTTATCGACATCAGTTTAAAGAATTATAAAAATGGAAAATATTGGTTTGTTTCATATGCATCTGCCACATGTGACACAGTCTGGGCACTCAGCAGTGCAAAATCAAAAAACAGAAAAAGAGAAATATGTCAGATGATTTATGATTTAACTTGTAAATTATTTTAAAAATCTTTCATACTAACCCTTTAATATATATGGTATTTTAATTATTATTAGATTACTTTTTAGTTTATTGAGATAAGAAGATATTGGTGTATGGTGTCAGATAATGGTGTTGGAGTATGGTTTCAGATAATGGTGTTGGAATATGGTGTTGGACTATGGTTTCAGATAATGGTATTAGAGTATGGTGTCAGATAATGGTGTTGAACTATGGTTTCAGATAATGTTGTTGGAGTATGGTTTCATACAATGGTGTTGATGTATGGGTTTAGATTATGGTGTTGGAGTATGGTTTCAGAAAATGTTGTTTTTATGGTCTGAAAGGGTGAAGAAGATAAGTTTGAATCTTAAAATATCTGAAAATTTTTTAAATAACTAAATTTGACAGTCTAATATAGATTGGAATTTTTAGAGGCATTGATGAGGTTTTGATTGACTGACCTAAAATTAATTTCATTTCGCACAGAAACTGTTCTGAGATTGAGATTCGACATTGAATATGAAAAAATGGCTTCAGAAGTACTAGAACTGTACAAAATTTGCAAATAAGAAAATTCAAAGTGCCCATGTTAATCTATGGAAACCTTATTCCCTGTTTTTTTTTTCTATTGCAGTTAAGGTTGATATAGATAACAGTTTGAGGGTAGGCAGGGAGGAATCCTGCGGGGGCTCATCGTTCCTGTCCTGCCGAGATGGATTGATTGGTGTGTAGGGCAAGAAATTTGGAACGATCTCTCAGGGCATATAAAACAGAAGTAAGTTATTCTTAAAAGGAAGAAATGAAGAAACAGCAATTTTTAAAAAGATAACAAATGGATAAGCAGGTCCTTGGAAAAACATTATTAACATTTGACCAACATCTACTTGTACAGTTTATGTAAACAATCTAATATTAGCATTCAAAGCAAGCAAGATAAGATAGTACCTTTTTTTGGTTTCTCATCGTCAGTGATGTAGGGTAGATAGGCTAACATGGACAAATAGTTTAGTTCTTTTCATTGAGCAATAAACTTAGGTCCTGTTTGCTACAGGTTGTACACCTTAAAGATCCCTCAAGAGCTCGATAGGAAAGTATGTAGTATGCAATCCTGGCAAAATTTCCCTTGTACACCACAGAGCAGGGAAAGTTTTCAAGGCGAAAATACAAGCTGGCTATTAAACATTTAAGATGAGCAATAAAATTCTGTCGTGTTTTTCAGATAATATGGGTTGATATGAATGAAATGGGTCTTTTTTACTGAGAACATATATCTGGTTGTCAAGATAGCTTCGTCCAGGTCAACTAGCTGCTGTTAATCAGGTATTGTTTTAGTTAAATACTCAGTTTTCTTTCTTGTTTTGTAACAGAGCTTGTTTACAGAGCTTGTTTGAAGAATGAGGGCATATAATGGGTTTATTATGTGATCTGCAGGAGGACAATTGGAGAAACACATTCAAACGTTGCATAAAAATGTATCCAATTATTATTGTTCAATTAATCTGTGTAGAAGTATAAGTAAAGATTTGTATTATTATTTTTCAGTCAATCTTACACTGAGTGTTACGGCTAAAGTTATAGAAACAATAGAGAGACTTTTAGTTATATTCTAAGAAAGAAAGAGAAAGAATGAATGAAAGGAGAGATTGCTCAAGATGTTGGATTGTATTGATAACGCGTCATGACATTTTAGATCGTTTTGATTACGAAACGAGTAAAATAATGCTATATTTTTTTCAACATTTCTATCAAGGTCACAGTGACAAAAGGAAGTATCCGCCCTGTCTTGGAGATCTGTACATGGAAATCATAATGTAAGAGATTTGTCTGCTGCCCTGATTGTGTGGAATCATCATGCAGCAATAATGTTACATTAAAATGTTCTCAGTTACATTGGCTATATCTTTCACTGTTATAATTGTGGTAATTTTACTAATGAAATAAATTATTTTATCTAACTAATCCTTATTTTCTAGTTGAACTTCTGCATGTTGCATGTTGAGGCCACAACACTATTTCATTTGATTTGATCACGCTTGTTTTTTTGGCTTTGCTGAATGTGCAGTTTGGTAAATTGACCCAACTATTTTTTAAAATGAGGTTTTGTAAACTTGGTATGTGTATGAGGGACATAGCATCAATTTGCATCATTTGATCATTTGATAAAATTGGAGTGGAGCAAATAGATGCTTTAAGTATAACACAACATAACAAGTTTGCAAAACCACAATACCATTTTTTGGGAGGATTTTGGCTCATATGTCAGATCTGAACGAAGGGTTGCATGATTTTGGCCAGAGCTTTTTTGGCTGAGCCCTCAAATTCTGGTTGCCAAATATTGCTCATGCTTGATTAGTGACAGACCTGAGCGAGATGAGTATTTCAAGGCATGGAATGAACTTCGAAATCACATACAATTTGCATACAAACAGATGTACACCCACACGATGGAACAATTAATGGAAGCTGTCACTGTCATCATCACTTTTCAGAATGAATATTCCAATTCAGCTTAGCATACAAAAAATTTATAACAAATAATACATAAATACATAACTTGACATTAATTTAAAAAGGTCTCGCCAATACACACGTAGGCCTACATATATGTAAGCAAAGATATTTTTGCACAGCCATGTCTGGTCACAAAATAGACACGACTTTTCTATTTGTTTTAGAAACTATACAAGTCNAATCGGACCGTTTAATGGCGTATTTTAGGAAGGGGNTTGGGGGCACGACCCCTGGGGTCATAAATGAAAAATACATATTACTTTCTCTTCTAAATTAACTTTAAATGTATTCTCCGGATTCCTACATTAAAAAATTTTCCGGTGGGGCTGCCTGAACAGAAGACAGGAGATATGAGGTGTGTAATGAAGGAAATTTTGACGGGGAAATTTCTTGCATATTTTTTTGTCAGCATTTGTTGATTTTCTAGGTTAAATTTGAATGTCGTCTCGCAGTATGCCAGGCTCTACATCCTTCAGATCAGTGCTATGGAAAGAGAATCGACGGGTGCCATGTCTTGTGCCTTCTAAAGCTCAAGAGAAATGTCACAGTTCCTGAACGATTTATCTCTAAGGGAGATAATTCAATTTAAATTTGATTAAACACTGCAGTTAAATCTGTTATGTGTGTGTTCACTGTTATGTACAGTGTGTTTAGTTACAAGGATCAGTTACTCGAGGCATGGGCCATGGAATTATATTCAATTTGGTGGGGAATTTGAAAGGAGCTACTGAGAGATTTTGTGCTAAAAATTATACAAGACTAGTAAATTCAAAAATGATCGTAAAACAAACAGTATCGTTTCTACTTGGGGTTCAAAGGGCGGGCATTCTCCCCCAGAACAGAGGTTTCGCCCCCGCCCCACCCACTTGCCCCACTTTCAAATTTTTAACATTAGCATTAGGAAAGTATTGTATGTGTCCTTGACAATTCTGGAGCCAGTACTCGCCCCCCTCCCCTCACCTAATAATACATAGAAAATCCACTGAACACATTGTTATTGATCGCATTTGACTGCTTGAGAATATTCACCCACTTACAAAATAAACAAACAATAACAAATACTCATGCACGTGAAATATTCAATGTCATTTGAGATCAAATCACTTGACAAAACAAACACACACAAAAAATCTTTCAAGATGTCCGGACATGAATTGGAATAATATATACCTTTTCAAGGTAAATAGACTATGATTATCATTCTTTTATTATTTAGTCATGCATTGGTATCTTTACTTGTTTAGGGGTGGACATTGTACTCATTTCATCTCAATAAAAGTTGATTTGGTTGACGTGTGAATAACAATTTGAATAAGTACTTCTTCATATCATTGCCCTCCTTGAGATACCATAAAATGGCTAATATCAGTATGGAATACACTTGCGAACTTGTATGATATCGTTTCACGATTTACACACAATTCGCGCATTTAAAACTTATATTAGGTTATATATTGATAGTCTGTCCAGAATGTAGGCCATTTTACATGATATTTCCCGGAGAGGTTTGTTTATTTCAAATGTAAAATGTCCACACAATATATGTCTATGTACCCGAAGACATTAACAAACAAACCATAATTCCCTACAAAAATTCCCTGTAATATCATCATTAATTAATTAATTAAATCGGTTGAAATATTCATCAACCCCAAAACAATCCATGTGTGGAGTAAATGATATACCCAAGGAGAAAGGGTGTAAACACACATGAATGTCGGTCATTTTACCGCAAGTTAAAAAGTTTTTGAATTTTTTCCATATTATCAAGGGAATTAGAATATCAGTACGATTTTGAGGCTGTATTCCAATTCTCATAAAAATAATGGGAAAAATTAAAAGGACTTTTTACTTTTCTCAAACAATAACATGTAATGAACGAACTGATCAAGTTCGTTTGTTTGTGGAATTTGAAGTGAATTTGATTAAAACATAACTGATAATATTAGAATGCCTTTGAGTTTATAAATATGTTAACATAAGCACACATTATCATTTTGAAATGTGTTTATATAGAAGACAAGTTTCAGTCAAAATGTGGACATCTTTTTCCGTTGAAATTTTTAAGAGGGAAGTATGATTCTTACGAAAAATTATATATTTATAAACGCAAAGTCATTCTATCAGATTATCACTACTGTTTCGAAGCGTACAATCAAATCCACATAAATAGACAAAATCCGATATACCAACGAACTTCCTCAGACAATAGAAGGGGAGTTTGTTTATTTCAAATGTAAAATTCTCAAACCCCCAAAATTGCACAATTTTCTTCAAAAGTTATTTCTATCCACCCGAAGACAGTTCCTTCAAGACATTAACCCTAAAAATGTACCACATTGCACACTGAAAAGTTTGATAAAAAACCATATTTCTTAATAATAATTTTTTCATCGGTTTAAATATTCTTCCAACCACAGACAATCCACGCGTGAGAAATGTGTACCCCAGGGAGCAAAGGGTAAAAAATGTTGTTTCCATAGACTTTGCACTTGGGATAAAACACATTTGCTCGCCCTTTCATATGTTAATGATTTTATATGTAATAATACATCAAGGAAAGGGAAAAATAAATAAGATATAAACAGGGTTTCAATCGCCCCTTAAACAAATAAGACTTCAATCGTCTGCTATATTATATTTCCTAAACCCAAATTTATCCCGATAGATATATTCCAATATTGTTGTAAAAAATTTTAATTACTGCAAATTTCATCCAATTAGATGATAACTAGAAGAAAACAAATAGGTTTTTATTCGATTTACCCTGAAAATCCAAT